TGTCTAATGACATGGTATTCATCAGAAATTCCATTTCCTCCAAGAATGTCTCGTGCTGTACGAGCAATATCTAAAGCCTTTCCACATGAATTCCGCTTGACCAGTGATATCATTTCTGGAGTAGCCCTAGTAATACCAATATTTTTTAAATTACGGATTCAAAATATTTTTTTCTGGTAGGTGGATTGTCTTTAGTATGATATAAACAATACTTATACTTAAAACTCCTTGCTTTTACTTTTGTCATTGAAGTACAATATACAATATTTTCTCTCCACACTGTAAAATAAAAAAAAGGGATTACTTAATATTAGTTAGTAATTCTAATGATGTCCAAGAAGTAGCTTTGCAGTGATTAACCAGGTAGGTACCAAAACCTGTATGCTCGGTTTCTTTGGACATTGGTCTCACATTAAAATTTGTACAACTTTACTTACATTGGGATTACTCCACTTACAAATAACATTGTTGACTGATGAAGGCTCAAGTAAGAGGGCCGAAAGCTCACAAATAAAAGTATTTTAATGTAGAGAAAAGTTTGTGTTTAATTCTACATATTAATTCCCCTATGTTGTGAGTCTTAAACAACAACAAAAAGACTGCTAAAGCCATACTAATCTTACTCTTGTTTAAATCAACTTTCAAAACCTATGCTATAAATAGGTGTTACAAAAAATCAGAAAAGGTATTAGTAGAAAAAATCTCCTAATAACAGTCTGCTGTGTATTTGTCTGAGTAAAAAATAGCTCAACATATGAATAGAATATAGCTTCCTAATACCAATTCACCTTTATTGGATGACCAGGATAACAACTTATATATATAAGTTCTACATTAATGAATGAATACGTGTACTTGCAGAAATTCAAGACATTTTTGAGTGGTCAAATGACATAAAAATGATGTTGAGTTTACTTCTTTACTATTTTATAAATACTAACTTCTCAATTAAAAAAAGTCAGGTAGTGCACTTTCTAATACATGCATAGGAAGTAGAAAAGCTAGTTTACAAATATTGTCAAGCAGAGAATTAAACCCCCTGAAATTTGTTTTTCGAAAGATAATTCTTATTTTTTCTTTAATCATTGAGGGGTATTACTCAGAAAATATTTTGTAGTTATGCTTTATCTAAATTAATACATGTTCATCAGAATATAATTTTGAAAGAAGGAAAATTACAGAGAATATTTTTGATTACATCACCATGCGGTAATTATTTTTTATTTGACCTGTATTTAGAGGGGTCTAAAACTGTGGTAATGCAGAATGTAACTTATTTTATTTATGAACAGGCAGGTTTTGATACATCTTGGAGGCAGATCAGTGAATAGTTAAAAAAGACACAACCCTTGTTCCAATTACTTGTAATAAAAACTACAGAGCCAGGCAAAGGTATAAATAAATGAAACAGATATAATTGTAGTAACTGTAAAATTAACCTCGTAATTAATTACCATAAATACCCATGTATAGTGTGCACCTTTTCCAAAATTTTTGGGCTCCAATATGATGTGCTCATTATACGAGGGAACAGTATTCTTCTACTATTTTTCAGGTGAAAGTTTCAGTCCGAATGTTGCCTCATCTTTTAAGTCTGGCACTTATAATAAGATGAAACAGTGGTAAAATAGAACTACAATACGTGAATTCCAGTCAGAAGAAATATAACCATGTTGTTTGGGTTCTAATTATCACAAATATCAACTGGTGAAAAATGCATTCTAATATTATATAAGAATATCAGAGAAATATACTTAATTAGCTATAGTCATTATCAATATAGCATTAAGTTTTATTTTCACAATAAGCAGGTAGTCCGCTCTAAATGAAAGTTATTAATATAGAATTTGTTTCTAATATTGGTGAAATGTATATCACTGCTTTATTAATGTAGTTTCTACTATGACTAGCACATCCAGATCATGTTTAGATATTCTTAAAACCTATTTTTCCAGAAAACAAAATTTCCATAAAAATACTCGTAAAGAAGTTTTAGATGGTGAGATGTGATACATTTTCTGAATGCCAAAAAGTAGCTTCATCCACTTGCAGTAGTCTGAAGAAATCATTTTAAATTGGAAGCACAATCACCACCAACCCTTTAAAATGCAGTAAAGTAAAGCACACACACATACAGCTTCTATGTTTTGTGTTTCAAAATATAAATATGAACTTATTATTCAATCACTAACTTTAAATGCTCCTCTCCAATAGTAAAGATTTTTTTTTTCAATAATTATTAAGCCTAAGTTGCCAAAACTGCTTGGTTTAAACCCAGTTTTCAGACCAAAATTATTTTAGTCAAGTGACCTAATTCTTACAAACAATATAATTTAGAATTTCAGATCCAGTTCTCCAAAAACAGACAAATACTGACACTTGTATATGACTTAAAATAAGACCCAAAACTTGAGCACTTTTGAATCGTTAACTATTCTTCTTCAGGAGAAGAATAGTC